TAGAAAGAAAGGTGAAGCATAAAATTACAATCAACATGTTGGTTCCTGGAATCCGCATTTCTGTCTGTCCTCTTAAAAGACAACCGCAGGGAAAGTTGGGTGTTATCACATTAGCATACAGTACACACAGACGTCTGCACCATAGGGGACCTGGTGTCAGAGTGGCATTTCAACTTGAATCTTCTCCCTGGATAACACCAACATGTTAAATAATAAAGTTACGTTTGAAACACCTTTCAGACCATGTGGCTGAGTCTTTCTCTGAAGTGACCCAGTGGTTTGTCACCGATTTGTCTCTGATGTCAGGAAGCTGAGTAAAAGTCCATTAGTGTAAATCCAAAATAAACAGGCTTGATCACCCTACAAAACGCTAGCTTGTACTGGTCATCAGGGTCCACCTTCATGGTCCAGAAACCATTTGCTACGTCCACGGTTGAGAAGAAACGAGCCCCTTTTACTTTAGGGTTTGTTTCCTGTGGTGAGGGCTGGGTTTTGCCAATGTTGGAGTGTAGGTCTCCCGGCTGAGTCACGAGGGCGTACATGATTATGTCACCTTCGGCACCCAGAGTTGCACCACAGATTGCCTTGTGCTCAAGAGTCACATGGCAGGCGATGGTGATCACTTCATCACCTCTAGCTAGGGATGAGGGTAACTCACCAATGACAGGTACTGACAACTCAAAGTCATGAAATGAGTTGTTAACCAGCATCTCTAATGGTTGCCATGCGGTTACTTGAATCGGAACGTGGGTCAGATTCTGAACCAGCAGGTAGGTTGAACGATTGTTCAACTCCAGCAGGGGCGTGCCGCAGACTGTCAGGTTTAGTTCTTGAAAGCGAGGCAAGGGTTGGAAAAACGCTTGTAAGCCAGACATTTTCTGTCCCTTCAGGAGTGAAAGGCGGATGGGGAACCCCACTGTCCTTGCAGGAACCATGATGCCTATTTCGCTGGCAACCTCACATGCCTTGACCTGGCCTGATGCCATGTTCTCTGGGTCAGTTATCTGAGGTTAACTGTCGGTGCCTGCAAGGGACCACAAGACTTGGTTGACTGTGTCTAGCTGGGCACCGAGCCTGACCAGGAGGTCTGCCCCGATGGTGAAAGGAGGCTGAAGATGAGGGACTACACTGATGTAGTGCATGACCTGTTTCTTGCCGATTAGTACAGTAAGGGAACACACCCCAGTTCCCTTAAGAAGGGTCTGTGGTGACCCTGCGGAAAGAACGCGATGGCTCCGCCGTACGTAAGCCAAGGAGTTGTACTGGCACAAGTTCTTGAACAGGTCTTGGTCAATGGTGGACTTCTCGGACCAGAGCGTTAGAATCGCCTCAGGGACCAAGGTGCCATTAAGATGTACACCTCCAATGAGATAGGGGCTGTACAATGATGAGCTCACATTTTTCAGGGAGCAAAGGAAAGACCTGTGTTCATGAAAAGAAGTTGGGCTTTCAGACTGTGGCAGCTGAGGGCACGCCGGCGGTGTGGAGGGGCCAGAGCTAGAGCTGGTATCCACAAGAGGCATGAGCATCGGCAGGGGTGTCCTGGACTCAATGACAGCGACGTTGCTGTCAGAGGCTAGCACACTAGCTGCGGGGTGGAGCGGTTTAGGTGTGTCAACCTGAGCCCAAATGTGGCCACGGTGGCAGTCAATGAGTGGTGCCAATCTGTCCAGTATGTCCTGTCCGATAAGCAATGATTCTGTGTCTAGGACGCAGATGTAGATGGGATGAATGAGTGTCATCTCTTGGAAGGTTACGTCGACCCAGGCACGTCTTGTGATGGGTGACGTGTCCTGCGTGTAGCTGGTGATGTTAACATTGCAGGTCTCGATCTGGAGGGGTTTGCCGAGGGAGAGCATCACTCTAGCAACCTCTTTAAACATGTCAGAACTCATCAAGCTTATCTCAGATCCGGCATTAAGCAGGGCGAGGGTGCTGACGCACCCCCCTATCACCACAGAGGTATATATGCGTCGGGCGTTGTCCTTGCGGACAAGGTCGCCCAAGAAAGCCAAGAAAGGGGAGTCGGTGAAACAGGGAGTGTCCACTTTAAAGATTCCCTTGACCTCCCCTGGTCCTCTTCCCCAACCGACAAAGTAAACTTTGGCTGTGGAGGGGGGAGGTGCCTGGTCTAGTCACGCTGATGGGGGCTTGGTGTCTGACCCCTTTGGGGGGTCGTGATGTGAGGTAGAACGACTGGGCAGGTCCAGTTGTCTAACTGCTTCTGCCAGGCAAACTCAAATCAGCTCCTTCATTTCTGACCACATGCCACCCCCGTTAGGGTGGTTTTGGCCTTCTGGTCATACTTACCCCCTTGCTTTGGGTTCCGGTCAGCTTTCTGCTTTGGCTGGGAAGGGTTTTGTTGTTTCTGCTTCCCCTGCTTCTCACCCCCTTGTTTCTGCCATCCACCATGTTGTTTTGGTGCTTGGCGTTTCTGGGATCCTGCTCGGGTAGCAGTCTTGGCACGAGGCATCTCGTTGCCTTCAAGCTCCAGGTCTGCATCTTCCGCTGCTTGGATCCCCAGGACTCTGGCGTCGCTCTCAGGCTTCTTAGCCATGCACACGCGAACCTCTCATACCATCTGTGCATACCTCCGGATCTCCTGCATAGGGAGATGCCTGGTTCTGCAATACACCGTGACGTCATATCTCACTGTCTCATGGAGGTTGTGCAAAAACAGGGACTTGAAGCCATGTTCCTCCTCTAGTCCTGGTGCATTGCGGCCTTGAAAGTATGCGACTCTTAGGCTCCGGTAGTACTCCTTTGGGGACTCTTGCTTCCTTTTGAGTGATGGCAAAGGCGCCGAGGGTGGC